TGGTAAAATATCTATAACATAAAATTTGCTATTTTAAGCACTTTAAATGTACATTTTGTTGGCATTAATTACATTTAAAGTGTTGTGCAACCATCAGCACTATCTATTTCCAGAAAATTTTTCATCATCCCAAACAGAAACTCTTCCATTTCTCCTCCCCCCAGCCCCTGGTAACCTCTAATCTACTTTCTGTCACTATCAGTTTGTCTATTCTAGATATTCCATGTAAGTGGTATCATACACTATTTCACTTAGCAGAATGCTTTCAAGGTTCATCCACGTTGCACATGTATCAGAGCTTTGTTCTCTTCTATGGATTGGTAACTTTGCATTGTGTGTCTATACCACATTTTGTTTATCCATTTACTTGTTGATGGACACTTGGGTTTATACTTTCACCTGTTGTGAATTATGCTGTTATGAACACTGATGTACAAATAAGTATTTGAATCTCTGTTTGTAATTCTTTTGAGTATATTTCTAGGAGTGTAATTGCTGGACCATATGTCTATAAACAAACTTGTATGGTCTTTGTAAGTGCATATATTTTCATCCAGGATGGGTAAAAATGTAGAGGTGGAATTGCTGTATCATACTTAATTCCATGAAAAACTGTCAATCCAAGTTTCAAAGTGATTGTGCCATTTTATACTCACACCAACATTTAAAATACCAGTTGCTCCACATCCTTATCAACATTTGATGGTGTTTGTCTCTTTTCTCCCTCTATGTGCCAAGTGTCCAATGTGATTTTTAACATCCCACAATAACCTCGCACAATAAGCATTATTTCTTTTTAAAAATTGAGATTTGATTGACATACAACATTATATTAGTTTCAGATATACAACATAATGATTTGCTATTTGTACCTATTGTGAAACAATTACCACAGTAAGTCATTAACGTTTATCAATATGCATAATTACATATTTTTTCCTATGATGTACTCTCTTAGCAATTGTCAAATATACAATACAGTATTATTAACTGTAGTCACCATACTGTACATTACATCCCTATGACTTATTTATTTATAACTGGAAGCTTTGTATCTTTTGACCACCTCCACGCATCCCCCACCCCCACAACCCGTTTTTTGTTTCATGAGCATTTTTTAGGTTCCACATGTGAGATCTTGTCTTTTTTCCCCTTAAGATTTTAAACATTTATTTATTTATTTATTTATTTATAGAGAAGGGAGGGAGAAAAAGAGGGAGAGAAGCATCAATGTGTAGTTGCCTCTTGTGTGCTCCGAACTGGGGACCTGACTTGCAACCCAGGCATGTGCTCTGACTGGGAATTGAACTGGTGACCCTTTGGTTCACAGGATGGCGCTCAATCCACTGAGCCACAATACCAGGGCTGGTCTTTTTAATTGTATTAATTTTGATGCCATTATCTTGTAGTTTTAATATAGAATTACCTCATAGGATATTGAGCACTTTTTCAAAGGCTTATTGGTTATTCTTATCTTCCTTTGTGAACTAACTGTTCAAATGGCGTTCTCATTTGAAAAATTGTATTGCTTTATTATTATTATTGAAGCAATAGTTGCTACAATAAAGACATCACAAATGGACCTACATTTATATAGTCAGCTGCTTTCTGACTGAGGTGCCAAAGCAATTCAATGGGAAAAGGAAAATATTTTCACAAATTGACCTGAAACAATGGAACTTCAACCCTGTTCACTTGAGGTGACTCATAGACCTAAATGTAAAAATTAAAACTATAAAACCCCTAGAAGAAAACATGAGGATATCTTCATGACCTTGGAGAAAGCAAAGAGTTCTTGAAGAAGATACAGAAAACAATAACTTTCAGACAGGAATTCCTGGGGTCCTGGGCTTGGCTTGCCTGGGCTTGACTGAATGTCCAGTCCATGGAGCCCATGAGTAGGAAGACGGTAGTTCTTGCCCAGATGCCCTTCGCATGGGACCTCCGAGGCCTGGGTGGAGCCTTGTGACTAACAATGGGGACTGTGTCTTATACACCTCAACACCCCAGGCAAGGACTTAAAAGAATATCTGGTCTCACCAAATACCCCACAAAAAAGAAGACATGAGTCACCTTCCGGGGCCTTTTCCCCTTAGTTAGGGTGGTTTTCTCACATTAGACTAAGGTGTCCACAAGTGCTCAGAGCAGAGGAGACCTGCTGAGCGGAGGCAGGCATTACTCGAGGCATATGGGGGTAGCAGCTCCGCACTGGAAACCTGGAGATAGGGACGGTATAGAGCTGGGGAAAAACTTGGGGTCTGGAGTCTGATAGGCCTGGGTTCACATCCTTGGATCTTTCCTTTTGGAGCTAGGTGTCCTTGGGCAATTCACTAGACCTCTCTGAGTCCTGGTTCCCTTCTATGAGTGAACCGAGTTTGACATCCATCGACCATTCAGTCTGAGGGCTGTTGTAGGGCGGTGGGGAGATACTGACAGCAGAGGCAGCCCTGTCCTCAAGCAATACCTCAGACTCCGCTTTCCACAAACAAGCTCCTTTTCTCAACTTTCCTGCTTCACAACCAGCGTCTCAGCCCCGCAGGTCCCAGATATTGTCCAACTGCTTGCTTCTCTCTTCTATTTCCTGTATCCAATTAGCTACAAAGTCCTATAAATTCTTCTATTAAAATGCCTTTTAGCAAGAAGTCCTCCTCTAGCTGGTACTACCATTGCCGACCTGATTCCTATTCCTTGTCATTCTTCCTGGCAGAATTCCAATTTTAGTTAATGTGGCAACAAAAGTCCAGCAAAGCGCTTCCTTTCCTAGAGCCCTTCCCCTCAGCAGCTGGGGAAGCTACTGAGATGTACCAGTGATATGTAAGCTTTAGTTTCTAGGCAAGATTTGCTTTTCTTATACTGGTAGCACCCCTTCCTGCTTCACTCTATTTTTCTACTTGAGATGAAGCCCTGAGGTATGGAGGAGCCTCAGGAGGCTCCTTGAGATCACAAGGCATCCAGTCTGAAGAAGCTGTTCCTGTCACTCACCTAGACTATTGCATGAGCCATCAGAGGGCTTTCCCAGCCCTTCTCTGCAAGTGGAAGCACTAAAGGGGACACTGGAGTCCCCGAATCACATGACTCTAGTTGTGGTCCATCCCTAACGTACAGCATTAAGCAACCAGGGGAAACAATGGAGAAAATCTAAATTTATGGACATGAAAAGATGTTCCTGATATTTTGTTAAATTTAAAAAGCTGTTTAGAAATAATTTTTATCACATATAGTTATACATATGCTTATTTAGACATATATGTATTTAAAAGTGTAAATGGATATTCCTGTAAATGTATAACAGAGTTATTTATGTCTGTTTGGTGAGCTTATAAGTGGTTTAATTTATTTTTTTCTTACTTATCTAATGAAATTTTTTTTCAATAAAAAATAAAAATAAGAGACAAAAAGTGCTTAAAATGCTCATATTCAATGCTCCTTAGTTTGGTATTCAGTGGCTTCCACAATGGGCAGAAATAAACATGGTGTGTTTATGTGGATGTAATTGTGTGTGTTTGAGAGTGTGTGTGAATTAGTATGTGAGTATATGTAAGTGCATGAGTGTCTGGGAGTGTGTGTGTGTCTGAGTGTCCATGAGTATGTGTGAGTTTGTAAATTTGTGTCTGAGAATATGTGTGTGTCTGAGTGAGTGTGTGAGAATTTGTGAGTGCTTTGGAGAGTGTGTGACTGTGAGTTAGTGTGACTACATATAAGCAAGTGATGTGAGTGAATACGTGAGCGTGTGTGGTCAGTGTGTAAGTGCGTCTGCCTCCTTGGGTTTGGGGCGAACAGCCAGAAAGGATTCAGGGGGCCCCCACCATTCTTGGTTCCATCACGGGGTACAGCAAGCTTGCCTTCTTCAACTCACGACTCTGCCCTCGTTTAGCAGGAAAGGGGGTGAGAATGAGGACCCCCCGCCTGTTTCTGGGGAGGGGCCTGATTGTCTTTTTTGTTTATTTGTTTCTATGACAGCTGCTGCTCAGGCTCCAGTGGCTGCTAGGCCAGTAACCCTCCTGGTCATACAAGCCTGAGGAGGTGATCAGATCAGCTATTGTCCCTCAACCTTTAAAGAAACTCTTTTGCCAAAAGGTTTTGTGGCTAAGATGTTTGGGAAGGGCAGAGAATTCACCTGTGAGGATCGGTAACACACACTGGCAAGTTAAAGGTTCTGAGAAGTCCCATGGAAGTAAGCCTGATAAACCTTGCTAGACCGCATTTCCCCCTGAGGACAGGACCCCCTCTCCACTCCCCAGTAGCACCTTTTGGCCTCCCTCAGAACCAGTTTTCACAGAAGCTGCTGTGGGACACAGTGAGTCATGAAAGCAGCCTGCGTCTGCCTAGCACATGGCAGGCTGCAAAGCTGACTCATGCACCAACATGCCACCTCGAAGCCCTGTGAGCAGGCAGCACTGAGCTCATTTTACAGATCCAAGAGGTGGAGCATCTTGCTCAAGCTGCTCCAGGTTTTAAGAAGCCTGCTTGCCTTGGGACTCCATTCTCTACCCTGCTCACAGAAGCTAGTGGAGAGCAGGGCCCCGAATGGGCTCAGGAAAGATGTAATATTTTAGACAAGAAGGTTGTGCTGAAGCTAAGGACTCACCCATGACAGGACTCCTGGGGAGGTAGATGGGGTCGAATAATAGCGATGATGCTGAAGGGGCCTGGGATGGGAGATGCTGAAGGGAAGGTTCCAACTGATCTTGTCTCAGCAGCCAGAAGCGAGAGACCCCAAAGGAGGTAGAAGCTGAGTTCTAGTGCCCCCACCCCCTCAGCTCAGAGAGCTCCAGGGTGTGTGTGTGTGTGTGTGTGTGTGTGTGTGTGTGTGTGTGTGTGTCTGGGGGAGGGGGGATGATAGGAAGCACAGAACCTCTGAGGTACCACTCCTTCCCACTCCTCCCCCCCAAATTGGTTGTGGTGTTTGTGGGAAACCCTGTGACATGGGGAGGTGGCTTACCAGAGGGAAAGGATGTGGCAAGGTCAGATAGTCAGGTTCTCGGCCTCCATAAAACAGGGTGTGGGGGATATGTTGGCAGCTGCCCCACCATGGCCTCCTGGGCTCTCCTGCTCCTTGCCTCGGTGCTCCTGGGCTCCTCAGGTAAGGACAGTCCCCTCAGTGAAGATCCTGACAGTCCCCCCAGTCTCTCAGCGGCTTTCTCATCACAGAGGCCTTTCCTGCGGAGCCAGGTACAGCCGCAGGCTCACAGTGACCTGGCTGACAGGGAGAGACAGCCAGTGGGGAGGAAGTGAGCCCTGGCTGGGGCTCTCGTCCCAACTCTGCTGGTCCTGTTGTGTGGCCTGGGTCCCCGCTTTTCCTCCCTGGGCTCTGCCTCTTCATCCATGTTACGAAGGCCACTGGCCCTCATCAGAGGGTCTGACGTTGCTCCTGGCCCACACCGGCTAGGGTTATGCCAGGGCTTGTGAGGGAACGGAGACCTCTCGCTGCTTGTTCCTGGCTCCGCACGGCCCCTTCTCTCCCAGGCCCTGGAGCTGTGGTGAGCTCCGAGAGCTCAGCTGAGGGTAAGGTCCCTGCAGGAAGGGAAGATGGGTGGGAACATTTTTTGGAAGGAAAGAGAAAAATAAACACAATCTCGTGAAAGGAGATGAGGAAAGTTAGATCAACCCCCAAATCTCTGTGTGTGTGTGTGTGTGTGTGTGTGTGTGTGTGTGTGTGTGAGGAGTGAGGGGAGATGTGTGAGTAGGGGAGAGAGGAGCAGTCTTTTCCTTCTGGCTTTTTGGAAGGAACTTGGGAGCACTTTTTTTGTTTGTTTGTTTTGTTTTGTTTGTTTTTGCTGAGAGTGGGTCAGAGCAAGCTCCAGGGCAGCGTGGGAAGAGGGCCTTCCGGGCTCCTCACAAAGCCCCACTCTCCTCCTGGGCCCTGGGCCCCTCCTGGGCTCCCCACCGGCCAGGAGAATGGACTTCTCCCTCTTGTTCCACCCATGGAGGAATCCTGATGCTGTTTCTTCCCCAGATCTGGCCTTTTCTAGCCTGACCCCTGAGTGCTACGACCTGGAGACGGCCAACCCATGTGATGGAGAGCAGCTGCACCAGGGCCTGGCCCTGGAGGACCCCCAGGTACACAGGTTCCTACTCACCTCCCACAGACTCTCTCCTCCCTGGACGGTGCTGGGGCAAGGGCTGGACGTGTCTAATGAACAGGGGAGGGGCAGGAGGGGCTGTGAGCTGAAGACATTGCTTTTGCTCACACCCATGCATTGTGGGCAAGGTGCTACATTAGTCTAGCTGGGCCCTCCCCAAGAGGGTCCTCTGGGGCTTGATGGGGGAACAGAAGAGGGGTCTGTGTCGGGCTAGGAGAGGTGTTGTGGGTGTCCGGCAAGTTCCGGGGTCTCAGCCCCTCTAAGACTAGCACGTGGGTGGGCAGGGGCCAGGCAACTTGGTTCAGGCCCTTAAGCACAGAAAGATCATAGGTGATTTCCCTGCCCTTGGAGTGTCTGAGAGACCACCTTTCCTGACAGGGTAAGCTGCTGACCACAAGAGAGGAGCAGGGCATCACTTGTTGGCTCTGCAAGAAGATAATCAAGCGCCTGCGGAGAATTGTGGGAGAGCAGCCAAATGAGGTGAGGCTTGTGGAGCCTTTGGCCTGCTGGTCAGTGGAGTGGGTGGCCTGGGCGTCCAACATGGCGCCCCGGAGGTGGACACTGGGTGAGGAGGGCACTGGGTGAGGGCCAATCCCCAGATAGTCCAGGGCTTCTCAGCAGAGAATCTGTGGGCCCCCTTGTGTAGCTGTGGATGGACTTCAGGGAAACCTGGGAAATCATGATGCTCTGGGAGTGTGAACATGGAAGGAAGAGTTTGCATGGTTTTATGCAATTCTCAGAGCAGAGTTTTGAGAGGCTGGTACAGGGGACCTGAGTCAGTACTGCAACTGTCTGCATGGCCTGACAAGCCATTAATGTGTTCTGAGCCTCAGTTTTCTCGTATGTGGAGCTGGATGGGTGATAATTCCCACCTGGCAAGTTGCCTAAGCCTTTTAAGGGAGTGGAGGGGAGGATGTGCTCCACTCTACTTTGAGCCTTGAACAAATGCCTAACAAATGAACGTGTCATGACGGAGAATCATTGTTTCACTCTCCCTCCTTTTTCACTCCCCCTACCCGCTTAGCATCTTGGCACTGAAAGGCCCACCCTCAGGCCTGGGTACTAAGATTTATCTTTCTCCACTGGGATGGCAGTAAAGAATAGTTTAAAATCAAATGTGCCAAGGCTCCAAGCTCTGATGCCCTCCTAACCTTCTCCCCACCCCGCCGTAGGTGGAAAACCAGCCAGGTCTTGCACCCAGGATGCTGCATGGGCAGAGCCTTTAATGTGGGTCTGGCAGCTGTGGGCAGTTGTATAGGGAGCTGAGACTCTGGCAGAGCCTAATGTCCTTCTCTCCAGGACATTGGCCAGGCTTTGGCCAGGGCCTTGGGGACTGGGAGTGGGGGCTGGGTCCTGCCTCTCTAGTTTTTGCTCCCATGGCCACGTGACACCAGCACCCTGCACACAGCCCTCCCGTTGCCAGAGCTGCGGGTGCTGCAGGGTGGAAGAGCTGGCTAGGCCTCACTGGATTCCCATATCCTACCATGATGCTGCCACTGCAGGACACCGTCGCCCAGGCTGTGTCCCGGGTGTGCGACAAGCTGAAGCTGCTGAAAGGTGTCTGCAGGAGGACCATGAATAAATTTCTTGGACGCATCGCCCAGGACGTCACGGCTGGCAAAACCCCCCATGACGTTTGTGTGGACATTCTTATATGCAAGTCTTGAGCAGGTGAGTGCAGAGATGACCGCAGGGACTCATTCCTGGAGGGTCCCAGACAGTCTCCCCAGGCATGTGTGACATGGTTTAAAAACAGAAAAATACATAGAAAACTTAATAAGCAGCTCATATGTGTCCCTCCATCCTTCCTTGTCATGACACATCATTTCTTTCACTTCCAACGTGAGAAAGTGTGGAGAAGTTGGGTAGGTGGGCTTTAACCAGAAATGTTTGAGAAACACTCATTAAGAGCTTTGAGAAATATCCATAAGGTCTTGGGGTTTTTTTTTTACCACAGGCCATCCTGGAATAAAATCATGTCTTCATTTCTCCTCAGCTGTATGACCCTGGGCAAGTAAATTTACCTCTCTGAGCTCTAGTTTCCTCATCTGTGAAAAGAGGATAATAATTCTTATTACTGAGGTTGGGATGAGGGTGAATGAGATCATCATGTTTCAAGAGCTTGACACCAAGGAAACGCTCTTGGACTGAGATATTCGAGACACATGAGAGCCCTGATCAAACTCCAATCCCCAGCCTAGCACACATCCTTGGAAACAGGAACCAAGGCTACATCCTTCCCCATGACCCTGAGGGCCTGAGAGCTGGGCTTGGGAATCCTTCTGGGCAGGGAGGGCTCTGCCAGCCTCTTTCTCCAGCGCTTCCCAGACTCTGCCCAGATAGACCAGGCCATGGCTGCTGGAGATGGGCTCTGGAAGGGGGCCGCGATTGGCTCTGGCAGCTTCTCCAGCCTTCACTGATGCTTCGGGACTTGATGCTGGCAGATCCAGGGGCTGCCCCTTAGTGTGTGGTCCCCATTATTTCCTGTCGTTGTAGCCTGTGGCTTTTATCTTCAAGCCTCACAACCCACGCAGGCTCCTGACTGGCTTCTGGGACGTGACTTTGCTGTGTCAAGCAGAGAACACACCAGAGTCCCTGTTTCCCCCAAGATCCCACACATCCCACAGCTGGCTCTTCTCTCCGTTCTAGGTCCCTTGTGAGCCTCTGGGGCCTCTGGCTGCACCCTGAGGAGAAAGCACAAGAACTCCAGCCCTGGCAGCTGCTCCCTCCTTCCTAAATCCAGAGCCAGCCTCCAGCTTCTCTCGTCTTCCTCCTCCATTGCCTTCCCTGCTCTCAGAAAATAAAATGTTGTGCAAGGTTTTAGCGCAGCTTCTTTTCCTTTGGTGGATTTGAGGGGAGTGGGGCTCGAAGGCCCGCTTGGATGACACACGCATTCATTCGGTAAAGTTGCTCTATGGTCCCCACCCGGTTTCACGTGACCGGGATTTATTTAGTGGTGAACAAGGCCACCTCAGCAGTTCTTACCCATATAGTTATGAGATACTGACTGAGCACACGCTAGAGCTACATGCTACTGCAGAAGTTGGGGTCCACAGCAAGTATACCCCCAGGAGATTTCCAAACAGCCCGGGGGGGGGGCAGCAGGGTCACAGGTAGAGCTCTTTTGGTCATGAGAACAGAAACCCGTTGTCCTTTTGCTTCTCTTGGCAACCAGCCTTCTATTGCTGTTTGGGTGAGTGTATCATTTAAGATTTTGTTTCAAGCAACAGAATTCTTAGTTCACTCTGGCTTAAATAAAAATGGTAATTTATTGATTCAAAGACTTAACCAGTTCATAGACAGCTTCCGGCACAGAATGATCCAGAAATTGTGGTGTCACCAGAGCTCCAGTCTTGCTTCTCTTCTCTGCCATCCCCTCATGTCTTCCCGCCTCCATGTCGTGATACTGTCCTTCCTTCTTGGTAGCAGAAATGGCTGCATCAGGACAGGACTTTGCATCTACACAGTATGTCATCTGTAGCTTCTTTTTCAGGAGCTACCTTGGAAGAGATAAGAAGCTTCTTTCTCAGAAACCCCATCAGAGTTCTCAGGCCTCATCAGCCCTCATGGTTAGATGCCCACCTGAACCAATCCCTGTCCCCAGAGGCGTGGCGTGCACTGATGGGCATGAGACAAGTCAAGGCAGGCCCCTGGGGCGGAGGTGGGACCCAGGCGGCCCTAATCATTTAGCTGGGAGTGGACATGAAAACTGGGAAGAGTTTGTTACCGGAGGAGGGGAAATAGTCCCAGGCACCAAAAGAGCAATGGTGTGTCACTCGGGCTTCAGTTAAAAAAAAATTGAAAGGGACTCCCATTGGTGGAATCTGGGACAGTTGGAGTATTAAAATAGTTAATGACAATCACAGATCACAACCAATTAGGTAAATTAAAATCCATGAATTCATATACATATAAATAATGAATTAATAAATAAATAAGGGATAAGGGAAAGTGTTACCTTACAAGAGAAAGCCAACTAATAAATGTAGACATAGTCGCAAAGTATATCTCCCCAATATGCTTACTAATTACTTGATATTAACTAATAAATTTCATGACTAGTTAACCTGACAGTGGAGAAACCTGGCAGACAGGTGACAAAAGTTACCATCAATACTAATGGGACAAATCAACATCATGAGCTTCACGATATAATGCACTGAGAGGAACATAACAACACTTTTTTCTGCTGTTCCTGCTAAAAAAGCATAAAATAATAAGCAAACATCAGACAAACCCAAACTGACGTTGTACACAGTAGCTCTGTACTCTTCAAAATGCCAAGGTCACGAAAGACAAGGAGAGATGGAATAACTATTCCAGATTGAAGGAAGCTAAAGAGATACGTAGATCTAATTGCAACACATGCTCCTGGTTTGGATGGGTGGTACATGCTGCTGAGTCGGCTCCCACTCCTGGCGGCCTTAGGAATGAGTGATGGCCACGATGTGCTGTCCTCAACAGCCCTGCTCAGCTCCTGGAGACACATGCCTGTGGCTCTGTTTTTCCTGAGTACCTTTGCCTGCTTTCTGACCCAGGAGTCTTCTCTTTTAGCACTTTCTCTAGTTCATTTTGGACTGTCTCATCATATGGTTTTCAAGGTAAAATGAAAAAAAAAAAAAAGAAAGAAAAAAAAATCCAAACTACATGTGCTTGTGCCCATGGCGTTGCATCACCAAATGCCTGTGTAAGGTAGGCACCCTTGTGGGTTTGGGATCCAGACTGACATATGACATTATTTGGGGCAATCTATGAAATGTGACTGGAGTCTGTGATGATATTGTGTCTGATTTTGATGGTTTTACTGGGTTATGTATGAGAGAGTCCTTCTTGGAAGGAAATATACACTGAAGTATTAAGAGGGCGATAGGTGTATCATGTTGGCAATTTACTGTCAAATGATTGAGAAGAAATGGTAAAATGTACGTACAGCAAAACGAGAAGACGCATACCACATACATGTGGTAAAATTTAACAGTGGGGAAGCTGGTTAAGGTAAACAGGGGCCTTTTGTATTAGTCTTGCAACTTCTTCCTAAACTTGAAATTACTTTAACATAGAAGTGATATATTAATTCGACCTTAATAAGTGGATAGCTGGTGATGACATTGACTGAGGTGGGGAACGCTTTCGGATGCGTGGCTTTGGAGGGGATAATGAGAAGTTCTGCTCTGGCCACGTGAGGCCTGTCTCTCAGCCCTCCAGGTAGAGATGTTAGACTAGCCATGCGGATGGGGCGGGGCCCCTGGGCAAGATCCACGGCTGAAGTCCTGGAAGGGGATGAGATGGCCTACAGCAGCAACTTCCAACCTTTTTCCTCTCATGGCACACGTAAACTAATTACTGCAATTTTGCGATGCACCAAAACATATATTTTTTGCAGATCTGACAAAAATATAGGTATAGTTTTTGATTCATTCACACTGGGATGACTACTGTTGTGTTGGATATTATTTTTTTATTTAACAGTCTAAGGGAAAAGAGATCAGTGCCCCTGACTAAATAGTCTGATATTGCATGTTTTAAAATTTTTTGTGGCACTCTGGTTGAAAATTGCTGGCGTAGAGTGAGTGCAGAAGGATAAAGCCACTGTCCGAGGATAGGCCAGCTAGTCAGCATGTGGGGTCCTGGGTGGTGGGGGTGAGGGGGAGGAGCCAGTAAGGCAGGAGAAAAACCAGGCCCGGACCCAAGGAGTCAAGAGAAGAAAATGTTTCAGGAACTAGGGAGTGGCCTACCCCATCTAGTGCTACTGGGAGGTCAAGAAAGCAGAGGACAGAGAACTAGCCACTGGCTTTAGGTGCATTTGGGTCTTGGTAACCTTTGTAAGGGTCATTTCTGTGGCTAGGAGGGGATGACACTCCACTGGAGTGGGAGGAAGGGATGTGACTTCAGCACATATTTATAGCTTTATTAAGGATTTGCTGCAAAGGGTGGGGAGAAATGGGGCGGAGCTGGAGGCCAGGTGGAGTTCTAGTGGGATCTGTGTTTAAGGTGTGTGCATGCTGATGGGAATGGCTTATGGGGCAGGACATCACTGGTAACAGTGCAGGGAAGGCCCTGAGAAGGGAGAGGGTGAGACCAGGGCACAGCGGAGGGTCGGCAAGAAGTTCTAAAGCTGGGCTTATTAGGGGTGAGACTCATGCTTCGGGATAAAAGCAAGTGAAGGACAGCAGGCCAAGCCAGCTGCTGATGTCTCTCAGAAGGGAGCAAGGGGGCACCGGTTTCATAGTATAGACAGTTTTTGAGGTACCTGCTCATCCCCAGTCCTTTCTCAGTTCTCTAACATTACCTCTCTCGCCAAAAGCAGCCATTGGATGCCAAGCAGTGTCATGTGACCTCCTCTTCCCTCCTGGCCACTTCACAGACTCCTGACCTAAGCTAGAGCGAATGACTCTCTCTCCTGGGAATTTAGAATTACCCCCATCTTAGTCCCCTTAGCCACACCTACCCAGGTCCCTGCAACTGTCTCCCTAGTGATCTTGGGATTTCCTTCTGCCTTTGCTCCCCCACGTCCCTTTCTCCACACAGCAGCCGAGGACTCTTAAAATGCAAACTGTGCCTTAGTTTCCTAGGAGAACCCTCTAGTGTCTTCTCACAAAACTCTGGACAAAGTTCTGACTCTGTTTTAGAATTTGGTGTCAGAATAGTAAACCAGCCCTGGACAGTGCGGTTCAGTGGGTCGGGTGTTGTCCCACAAAGCAAAAGGTCACTGATTCAATTCTGGTCAGGGCACATGCTGGGTTGCGGGCCAGTTCCCCCTTTGGGGGCATGTGAGAGGCAGCTGACTGATGTTTCTCGCCCTCTCTTTCTCCCTCTCTTCCCCTCTCTCTAAAAATAAAAATAAAAAAAATCTTTTATAAAAGAATAGTAACCCAATAAAATAGTAACCCAACACCTGCCTCAAGCAACTTACAATAAAAAAATAATAATAATGTCACCTTATATTCATCTAGCACACTAAGTCTCTGTTGTTAGAAGTAATACAGATCAATTTTATTAAATTGCATCCCCTGAGCAGTACATGTCTTTTTAAAAGTTATATTTTATTAATTATGCTATTACAGATGTCCTGATTTTTCCCCCCTTTGCCCCCCAACCATCCAGCACCCCCCACTCCCTCTGGCAATCCCCCCACCATTGTTCATGTCCATGGGTCATGTGTGTAAGTTCTTTGGCTACTCCATTTCTTAACTGGACTTTACATTCCCATGCCTATTCTATAGCTACCTCTTTGACTTCTTAATCCCTTCACCTCTTTACCCATTCCCCTATGCCTCCCTCCCATCTAGCAACCATCAAAACACTTTCTGTATCCATGATTCAGTCTGTTCTTCTTGTTTGCTTAGTTTGTTTTTAGATTCAATTTTGACAGATATGTATTTTTGCCATTTTATTGTTCATAGTTTTGATCTTCTTGTTTTTCTTAAATATGTCTCATTAACATTTCATATAATAATGGTTTGGTGATAATGAACTCCTTTAGTTTTTTCTTGTCTGGGAAGCCCTTTACCTGCCCTTTGATACTAAATGATATCTTTGTTGGATAGAGCAATCTTGGCTTTACGTTGCTGCTTTTTGTGACTTTGAATATTTCTAGCCAATCCCTTTTAGCCTGCTTTTTTTGAGAAATCAGCTGATAGTCTCATTGGAACTCCCCTGTAGATAGCTAACTTCTCTTGCTGCTTTTAAGATTCTCTCTTTATCTTTAACTCTTGGCACTTTAATTATGATGTGTCTTGGAATGGACCTCTTTGCATCCATCTTGTTTGGGACTCTCTGTGCTTC